CGGCCTCGCCTGGACCTGGCGCTCGCAAAGGGTGGGTGACTGCTGGTTCGTTTCATGCGGAGGCTGCGTTCGATTGGCATGGTACGATTTACGTCGGAGCCCGCTGTGTTCGTCGGTGCCTTCGTCGTCTGGAAGAAGGGCAGATAGACGATGAGGGTGATCGCAGATGCGCGGGCCGCCGACCAGCGGCCGCCGCTGCCGCCGCGGGTGGGGCTGCTCACGGCCGAGGGTCTCTCTTGCGTCGAGGTGGCTGTGAACGGTGACCAGCGCCTGCTCGAGGACCCCAGCTGGGGCATCCTGCGCGCCGCCCGCATCTGTTTCGGCGTGGGCGACATGGAGAGCTGTTTCCACAGGTTGGTGATGCCGCCGTGGATGAGCCCGCTGCTGTCGTTCCCCGCGATGACCGTGGACGAGCTCCGCCAGGGCGCCGTCGAGACGGTGGAGGGCCGCGTGGCAAGCGGCAACGAGCTAGAATATCCTTGCTGCCGAGCTCTCTCTGCCCATGGGCAGCTCCTGGTCGCTATATTTTTGCCAGCGCCATCGCGGACCTGGCGCGGCAGTGCGACCTGCTTCGGGGGGGCCATTTGGCCAGCGACCGAGGCGAGCCGGCGGTCTTTTTGCTGGGCGAGGGCCGCGACCAGGATCTTGGCACAACGCTCGCGCGGACAACCTGGGCGCGCAGGGCCGGGTCGCCCGCGCCGCGAGGAGGGCGCTGGATGAGAGGGCGGCCGCGTTCAACGCGCTGCGGCTGGACATTGACGAGGCCTGCCCTGCGCCTCGATCACCGACAATCGGCGCTGCCGCTTGGGGCGGGCGCTGGCCCACGCGCTGCAGCGGGGCAGGGTGTCGGGGCCAGACCTCGAGCGCCTCCTCGGCCATTGCACCTGCGCGGGCCTGGAGATAGCGATGCGCGAGGTGCTCGGCGCGTTCTCCGCGAGCTGCGCTTTTGTGCAGGCCAGCTGTTGGGGCCGGCGGGAGGGGCGGCCCTCGGTCCGCGCATTATTCCAGACGGGAGGGTGGCGTGCGACGGCGGCTTTCGGGTTCTCCAACGACGTCGATGCGATGGCAGCGCCGTGCGCGCGGGGTGCCCGTGCGCCCAGGTACGCAGCGGCAAAATGAAAAGCGTTGCTGCTGGCGGCCGAGTCCGCAACTCGTCATTCCGATTCAGAGGAGGCCCCGGGCTCGCAGCATTGGGGTCTGGGGCGCAGGAGACGCGTCTGCGGCGCGACCAGGGCGCGCCAGAAAGCGCCCTGGCGAGCCAGGGGCGCCGCGCGGGGGCCCTACCTGGGCAGGCCAGCGCCTGCGCGGCCGCCGCACTTGCTTGAAATCGCGCCTGGGGCTGGAGGCGCCCAGTGCCGAATAAGCATTGGGGCTGGTCGCCAGTGTGCCCAGCACTGGGGGCCAGCGGCGCTGGGCCAAGGGCCCCCCCCCTCCCGGGCCGGCCGCCGCTCGGCCCAACACCGCGTCAGGTCCGAATCCAACGTTGGCGCGGACCTGCCCCGGGCGATTTCTCAAGGCGGGCGCGCGGAACGTTTGCGCCGCGGGAGGAATCGCCCCGAGGGGAGGGGGCAGATCGCGGCGTTAGTGCTTTAGGCAGTGTGTCGCTGAACGCATTCGCTCTCCTGCGCGCGTGCTTGGCGCCGAAGGCCGCCGCGGGGAGTCGCGCGCGCTGGTCGCCCTGCCGACGCGGCGCTGCGCGAGAGCGGCATTGTGCGCAGGTGCAAATCGAAGGCGCGCGCGCAGTTCGCCCGGCCGACGCGGCGCCTTGCGTGAGCGGCGCCGCGCGCAGGAACAAATCATTGCGATATTGGCGCAGGATAGCGCGGCGGCCCAGCGGGGTTGCCGCTGCGTTCGCGCCCGCCCGCCATCCCTGGGCCCTTGCGGGGCTGCCCGCGGGGGGGGGGGGCGGCGTCGTTGCCCGGGGCAGGTCGAGGTCTCCGCGGCGGCCGCGGGGGAGGGGGGGCTGGTCGCCAGTGTGCTCAGCACCGGGGGCCAGCGGCGCTGGACCAAGGGCTTCCCCCCTCCCGGGCTGGCCGCCGCTCGGCCCAGCACCGCGCCAGGTCCGAAGCCAATGTTGGCGCGGGCCCGCCCCGAGCGATTTCTCCTATTTGTTGGGCCTCTTGGAAAGCCTTAGTCGCCCCCGCAGGAGTGGCCTCGAAATTCTGTCTGAGCGCGCCCCTGGAGAGGTCTGGGGAGTAGCGGTATCGGCACTTCATTTTCCCCCAAAGGGGCAAGTCAGCTTGGAATGCATTGCCCCTCTGGTCTGAGGCTGTTTAGGAGGGGGAACAGCGGACAGAGTGTTTACACAGCTTGGAGGAATTAGTGAATTCAGCATGGGTCGGGCTTGAAACGCCTCGAAGAAAGCGCGCGCACCCGAATCGCAAGCATATGGCTATATGCGGACCCTGGACAGTTTGCTTCCCGTCGTCGTCCTCTCCCTTGCTCCGTTCCCCTTCCTTTCTTCCCTCCCGTGGATGGTGTCGAGAGCGTCCGCGGCTCGGGCGGGGGGGCGCCCCTTCCCACCTCCCTCATTATTCCTAGTTCCTTTTTGCCTCCCTGCTCCGCCGTCCGTCGTCCTACCTCGTCTCCCATCCATGTTCGAAAAGTGAAGTCCCTGGTGCCGCGTGCCCGTATCAGCGGTATATCGCCTTCTCGATGTCCGAGCACAGCGGCGCAACCGAGCAGAGGCGATGGGCAATGCGAGCGCTCGGGGCGCGCTCCAAACGCGGGCGGCACGGCCGCCGAGCACAGTCGCATCGCTAACATGTAAATTATAGGTGCCTGCGGCAAGGTCCGCCCCCTTGCCAGAGCAGCGGTCTGTATGGCGACGCGTAGAGCTTTGACTGTTAAGAGGTCCATGGCATGTGGCACTTCTCGTGTTTTCGGATTGCTGCGCGGCATTCTTCGGGGTCCTTCGAGGCCCTTCGGGGCGTTTTCGGGCCTTTGGGGGCCGCCTTGGCGCCGCGTTTCGCCGCGGCCGCCTTGGGCCAGGGAGGTTTGCATTTGCAGCTCCGTCGGGGGCACCCTGGGCCGGGGAAGTGTGCATTTGCATCCCCCCTAACTGGGCATGTCGACCTCGGCTCCGGGTTGGCAAACTCGGGGCACCCTCGAGCTTGCGAGCGTTCACCTTTTCGGAATACACAGATCAAGGTGTGATCTGTGTACGCAGCTTGTGTCTTCAACTGTGTATGTTTGTGTGTGGGCCCACTGTTTACACAGATCGTGGTGCGATCTGTGTGCACAGATCTCGTTCCCATCTGTGTATTTGGAGTGTGCGCCTCGCGGGTGGTGTTGAGTGGGCGGGAACTTTCACGTTTCTCCTTCGGCTGGTCCAGGGGGGACGTCGTGCGCGGTCGAAATACACAGCTCGTGTTTTCAATTGTGCATATGTTGCGCGCCGTTCGCTGGAGTGGTCACTGGGCGGGAGTTTCCGCGGGTCTCCCAGCTGGTCCAAGAGGGGGCAGCGGTCTGGACACGCGAAGGCGCGGGGGGGTGGGGATGGTGGGCTGTGGAAAGGCAGGGGCTCGATAGGAGGGGTGGCCAAGGGGCAGGGATGAACGGGACTGGACGAGAGGGGAGGAAACGGACCCAGGAGGAACTGCATCATCGGCGTTAGCATCAGGAGGACGAGGGAAGCGGTGGGGGGGGCAGAAGGAAGGGGCATGATGTGCACTAGGGCGTAGAGGATGGGAGGAGGGCAGGCATGTGGACGATGGGGGAACGAATCCGGCGGAGGAGGACGACGAGGAACGACATGAATTAGCACATGGGGGGTGACAGTGTGGATGAGCAGCATGATGAGGACTGGGTGTTATCGGAGGGACATGAGGAGAGCGGGGCCGAAGCGAAGGGATATTGGGAAGCGGCGGGGGGTGGGGCATAAGTTTGAGGCGGGCGTCAGCTAACGATTCGCTGAGCAGTGTTTTGCGTGTCCGTGCACCCCCCAAAACAGAGTACAATAACCCGTTGCGTAACTTCATGATACAGGTGCGCTTCGTGCTCCCAGGCCAAAAGATCGAGTCCACGCCGCCCATCGGCGTCGCGTTGGTGCCGCCCCGATTTGCCAGACCGCAGATGCACAGATACGCATAATATGTGTTGCAACGCTTGTTTCATGCCTTTTTCTATAGTGGCAGGCCCAAGTTGGAAACCAAAAGTCACCATGCAATATTGTTAACTTGTTCCGAACAAGCCGAGTTTTGGGACAGCCTGCTTCCTCCTGCCCCCCCTCTCCGTTCCCCCATCCCTCCTCCTTCTTCGCTACTCTCAGGGGGGTCCCAACCATTCGGATTCACGAGTCAGTTTCCTCTTCAAGATTCCCTGCGTCGTCGCGAGGCCTGTCATCGCGAGGTCGCGTGTTGTGTCTTCCTTCCTCCCCAACCACATGTGTGAGCCCGGCAACAAGAGCAGGAGGATAAAGATAATGAGGAGGAGGAAGAGGAGGACCAGGGAAAAGGCTTCATAACGGTGATGGTGATGATGGTGGCGGTGGTGATAACGATGATGGGTGGTGATCGTGACGATGATGGTGAGGATGGTGAGGCTGATAAGCAGGATGACAACGAGGAGGAGGAATATCATGATGAGGAGGGGTGTAGTGTCGACGATGGTCAGAATCTTAAGGATGGGTATGATGCTGATGATGATGATGACGAAGAGGAAGATGAGGCTGATGCAGGCGATGATGACGACGATTGTGATACTGATGATGACGATGGTGGTGATAATGACGATCACACATATGATGATAGTGCTGATGATGATGAGAATGCACATGAAGAGGATCATGATAACGTCGATGAAAGATACTGATGATGATGGTGGTGGTGCTGATGGTAAGGAGAATGGTGATGGTGGTGGTGATGATAGGCAGGACGAGGAGGAGAAGGAGGAGGAGGAGGAGGAGGAGAGGAGGACGAGGTTGAGGAGGAGAAAGAGGAGGAGGAGAAGGAGGATGAGGAGGAGGAGGAGGAGGAGGAGGGAGGAGGGTGTCGGGCCAGGACAATGCAGATTACATGGAGTTCACCGCCGAGCTGGACGTCCCCACCACGCCGAGCGAGACCATGGGCTGGGGGTTGAACGCCACGGATGGCGCCCCGGTCTCCGTCGGCAAGATCGGAGGAGGAGGAGGAGGAGGAGGAGGGTGAGGAGGAGGGGGAGGGGGAGGAGGAGGAGAAAGAGGAGGAGGAGGAGGAGGAGGAGGAGGGAGAAGAGAGGAGGAGGAGGAGGAGGAGAGGAGCATGAATGAGGAAGGAAGGGGAGGAATGAGGACTAGGAGGAGGGAAGAAGGGAGGGAAGAAGGAGGAGGAGGAGGAGGGAGAAGAGGAGGAGGAGGAGGAGGAGAGAGGAGCATGAATGAGGAAGGAAGGGGAGGAATGAGGACTAGGAGGAGGGAAGAAGGAGAGGAGGGAGGGACGAAGGGAGGGAAGGAGGAGGAGGAGGAGGAGGAGGAAGAAGAGGAGGAGGAAGACCAATGTAAACCCAAGACGCATCAACAATGGTGCAATACACCCTCCCTCCAAGTTCCCTCCTCATAGGTCCCTACCAAAAAGTATCTTCATTGCGGGAAGTGCCCCATTGGAAGAAAACCGCTTCTGAATCATCCGTCATGCCAGGATTTAATTATGATAATCTAACACCACAGAGTTGCGTCATGACAATCGTCACGGGTGCCAGAACACCTTTCCTCGGAACTCAACTCCGCGAATCAACATGACTGTTGCTTCCTGACAATGCTAAATCGTACCAGAACGCCGTTTCTGGGACCCCAAGCTGCAATAGTACGAATCCATGAAACTCTCGCACACATATGAGACCAACGTTCGCGGCACGCAAGCGAAAGTCACATGTTAAAAACGGCCCGCCCTCTATCCGTTCAACTGCTGCAGACTGTTGACGGTCTTGTTACAAACTTTTACAGATCATGTCTGCGGCGCGATGGCGAAAACCATATTCTGAAAACGGGCAGGAGGAGGTGGAGGAGGAGGAGGAGGGATGACGAAGAGGGGATGGGGAGGACGAAGAAAAAAATGCAGGAACGGAGGAATAGGGGAGAACGAGGAAAAGGAGGAGGAGGAGGAGGAGGAGGAGGAGGAGGAGGAGGGGGAGGAGGAGGAGGAGGAGGAGGAGGGGGAGGAGGAGGACGAGCATGAGGAGGAAGAGGAGGAGGACGAGGGGGAAGAGGAGGAAGAGGAATTGGAGAGGGAGAGGGGAGAGTAGGTCGCACCGGTTCGGGCGGGAGTTTGTCTTGGCCACGCAGGGTGGGAAGCCCGCGTGGGCTTGCCTCGCAAAGCGGGAGGCGCCTCGGAAAGAGCAAGGTTGGAGTGTTGCCTTCCTCCCTGGAGCGGTCGGAACAAGGTACCCCGACTGGAAAGCTCAGCGGATATGTGGTGAACAGGCCACTCGCGGGCCCGTCAGCACACACACACACACAAACACACACACACACAGAGACACACACACACGCAAAAACAGGCGCCGGCTGCTAGCGCGCTTTGTCGTGCGCGCTTCGATGCCTCAGTGAACCGTGGCGCCGCCTTGGGGCATCCCCCGCGGCGGCCCAGCGCGACAGCCACGGAGCAGCTGCCACTTTCTCTCGCACCACAGTCGGGGGAGAGGGCTCTAGCACTGGTGTGCTGCGCGGTGAGTACCGAGGTACGCCCGGCGGTTTCCCTGGAGCGAAACCCAAGAGAAGCGGTAGGGCTGAAAGCCGCTTGGAGGTCATTCCAGGCGCTTTGTTTTTGTAGGTGGAACCTGTTTATCAGCGGGGTAGTCTGTTCCTGGATGGCTTGGATGGTTTGAGCAAGGTGGTTGGCTCGCTGCTGCAGCGCCGTGATGCCAGCGATGAGGGCCGTTTCACTTTCTCGCTCTGGCTGTTGCATTGCAGCCTCAAGGTGCCACGTGTGGACTGGCCTTCGGTTCGTTCGCTACGTGACCGTTCGGCCGAGGTCTTGTCAGCCTCGGGTTGTGGGCGGTCCGCTGTTCCCCGTGCCTTGGTGGGAGGGGGGCCCGACCTGGTGGTCGGATAGAGTGGGTGGAAGGGCCAGGTCTTGGTCGACGTCCGCTGCATGAGCCAGACCATCTGAGAGCCCAGGCTGACGCCAGGCTCCTGCTTTCGTCGTCCGCCTCATGGCCGTGACTACTGTGACCTCTTGTTGGAGCAGCGTTGTTTCCATCGTCGTCCTTCAAGGGCGCCCACAGCCCAAGTGATTCCTGGTCTTCGCTTTAGAAGTCGCCAAGTGGGGCTCCCAAAGGATTGTCGAGATCGTCGAAGAGGTCAGTTTTGGTGGGCTCTGCGGCTGGGCGGGTCATCCAGTGAGCTTGGTGGCTCGTTTTTTCCTTGTCCTGTGACGGGCCCCAGGGTAACGCGCCCGTCTGTCTGGCAGGGGAAGAGCATAGTGGCGCTGGCCATAGATCGCGATGGCGGTGCTGTGCAACACCGCCGCGAAAATGTTGTCGCCATCTAGCTGCATCGACGAGGCCGGGGTGCGAAGCGTGCGGGCGTGCCCCGGCATTGGCGAGCTCGTCGGCATGACGGTTCAAAGCCTCAGCGATAGCTTTGATGCGGTCTTCTTCCTATTTTTGGGGACCTTGAACATGTCCAGCTTGGCTTGGAGCACGCTGTGATTGTTTTGCCAAGGGTCAGCCTGGGCCCCCGTGCCTTGCGGCGGCTTCCCTTCGAGAGCGGTTTGATTGTCTACGAACTGTGGGCGGGTTTGTTCAGCAGCAGTCGCAAGGCGGAGCACGGCGAGGGCCTCCGCTCTTTGTGCGGATTGAGCCAAGCCGCGCGCTCGAGCTGAGTGGTCTAGCCGGTGATCCATCCCGCGGTGGACTCGGAATCCCGCCTTGGCGAGCAGCGGGTGGGCCTGTGGCGGCGCGCGCCCACTTGGCCCACGCTTCGTCGGCGCAGTCGTCGAAAGGGGCCTGGGCACTCGGGCGGGGGCCGCGGGATACGTTGCGGGGGCTCGTCTTGCGCGAGTGGCCTGTGGGCTCCTTCAATTGAGGGCGCGCAGCCCGCAGCGCCTGGTGCGCGGCGGGATGTTGCCCCGGCTTCAGCCAGTGATCGTATTGTAGTGGCTTCCGGCCAGTGCCGCCGATCCGGAGCGCTCAGGGTGCCTGTGGAAATGAACGACGACGAGGAAGACGAAAACGACGACGAAAACGAATACGTCGACGACGACGACGAGACCGACGACGACAACGACCACGACGACGACGACGACGACGGCGATGACGACGACGGCGACGCGAGCGGCGACGACGACATCGACGACGATGACGCGAGCGACGACGACGACGACGACGACGACGACGACGACGACGACGACGACGACGACGACGACGACGACGACGACGACGACGACGACGACGACGACGACGACGACGACGACGACGACGACGACGACGACGACGACGACGACGACGACGACGACGACGACGACGACGACGACGACGACGACGACGACGACGACGACGACGACGACGACGACGACGGGGGGGGGAGCTGGGTTGCAGCGGGGGGGTCTGCTCTGCAGGGAGGTCCGCTTGGCAGAGGGAGGGGCTGCAGGGGAGAGGGGGGGTCCGCTCTGCACGGGGGGGGCTGCAAGAGGGGGTCTGCTCTGCAGGGGGGGGGGGGGTGCAGGGGAGAGAAAGGGGGGTCCGTTCTGCAGGGGGGGGGGGGCTGCACGGGAGGGGGTCCGCTCTGCCAGGGGGGGGATGGGGGGGGGCAGGGGGGGTCTGCCGCTCTGCAGGGTGACGGGGTGCAGGAGGGGAGGCTGCTCGGGGGGGGGGGGGGGCAGAGGGGAGGGGGGGGGGTCCGCTCTGGAGGGGGGAGGTCCGCTCTGCAGGGGGGGGCTCTGCAGCTCTGCAGGGGAGGGGGGAGGGGGTCCGCTCTGCAGGGGGGGGGGGGGCTGCAGGGGGGGGTCCGCTCTGCAGGGGAAGGGGGAAGGCTGGGCTGCAGGAGGGGGGGGGGCGCTCTGCAGGGGGGGGGGGTCCGCTCTGGAGGGGGGGGGGGGGGTGCGAAGCACTGAATTAGGTCGGAAATGAGGTCCCCCTCCCTCCCCTGCGAAGCACTGAGTTAGGTCGGAGATAGGTCGGAAATGAGGTCCCTCCCCCCCTCCCCCCCGCAGAGCGAAGCTTGAGCGAGCTCAAGCCCACGCTCTCAGAAACTCACGCGCCGGATCGACGGATTTCTCAAGGCGGGCCATTCCGACTCCCAGCGCAGGCATTTCCAGGCCGCGTGTTCTTGGGCCCCTTCGCCTTGATTACACCATCTACACGGTGGTGACGGGCTGTCCGAGATGCCCGCGCGGACTTGCGTTCGCTGTTTGTGATCGCCTCCGGACAAATGCAGGCCTAGTTGCCGAGCCGCGCATTTGGCCTTGCCTTCGGCTCTTTACAACCAAGTGTTAGCAAAGTTGTCGAGGCCCTGCTCGGCCGCGGCGACGGCGCCCAGGTCGCCCGCGTTGGCGGGCATGCGCTGCGGGAGGGGCCCCTGCGAGGCATTGGGCACGCGCGTGAACGGGCCAACCGACTTGCGTGACCACGACAGACGGATGCCCCAGCCATGTGCCAATGGATGGCCAACTCCATTCCAGCTGGGCGATGGTTTGCCATGCGTCAGGCTTGTTGTTCATCGTCAATCGTCGGATAGGCGAGAGGGCGCGGCGCGACGGCTACATTCTCCGAGCAGGCTGTTTGGCGACGTCGAGGTCGAGCGAGACGAGGGGCCCAATGCGTTGCTTGGCGGGGGGGGGGCCGCGCGGGAGGGCGAAGTTGGTGGCGAGCTGCTTGCTTTAATGTTAGTGGACATATAGTCAATGCGCGCCCAACCACTCTGGTGATCACCGGTCCCAGTCAAGATCTCGACCGCGCGCGCAGGCTCGCCTGCCCGGGGGCCCCGTCGCAGCGTTTGTCCGCCCGAGAACCGATGATTCGCATCTATCTTATGGGTTGGCCCATGCAGATGGAGCGCGGCGCATCTCCGATCCTGCTTGCCGCGCCCCAGACCTTGCGGTAAGGGGCCGCGTTGTCGGAGCCCGATTTTGCGCGTGCGGGCGCAGCGTAGATGGCTGCAGCAGCGGTCTCCTTCTTGTCCGAC